GTTACACAACAATTCAATGACTTGGTCAAGCTACTTACAGATAATAAATTGGTATTTAATTTAGGTACATGAAGAGTGGAAGATAAGAGTAAGGAGTCTGTAGCCTTGACAGTTCCCTTGCTAGAAATAGAGGCAAGAGAACCATCAACTAAGGTGATTTTGTCTCGACCAAGAAGCAAATCATACGAAACAAACAGAGTGGAAAGGTTGGTCATGTGATCAGAAGCACTTGAATCTATGATCCAAGGGGTCTTAGGATTACCTGAGGTGGATGCATGGTTAGCAGAAGCTCTTATACCTGAGTGAGCAAATGCGGTGGTGCCTGAATTTCCAGAAGGGTTGGATGATGAAGTTACACCTTCAAGATGGTTGATCATCTTTCCAAACTTCTCATACTCAGCTTTCATGGCTGCCAACTATGCACAGGCAGACTCAACTTCAGTATCTGTACCCATGGCTGCATTTGCACTCCCTGTCTTTCTACTATCATTTTTCTTCTGGAACCGAACAGGGACAAGACTGGGATGCAATTTCCAACACTTGTCCTTGGTGTGTTTCGGCTTCTTGCAATATTCACAGACCATCTCCTTCTTTCTCGTGCCACTGGGAGTCCCTATAACCCCTTTGGGTTTAACCCCCATATTTGCAAAATGATCATTGATGCCAACTCCTTGAACCTGTACTTGTCTTCTACTCTCTTCACTGCTGACCAAAGCATATGCTTGCGACAATGAAACACTTTCCTTGGACAAAATGTTTTGTTTTGTGATATCATATTCAGGATTCAGCCCAGTTAGAAACTCAAAGACCCTATTCTTTTCAACTAATTTCCTGTATGTTTCAGCATCATTGGGGTTATCCCATGTTACAGCCTCTATCAGATCAATCTCTTGCCATAAAGATTTCAGGGTTGAGAAGTATGCCACAAGGGATTTCTCCCCCTGTCTTAGATTCTTCACATCACTCATCAGTTTATAGGCTTTGGCAACATTCAATTTCTGGGAGTAGGTTTCTGCAACACTACCCCAGATTTCCTTAGCCAAGTTCATCCAAAGATAGTGTTGACTAATCTGTGGCTGCATTGAATTCACAAGCCACTCAATCACTGTGTAGTTCTCTTGCATCCATCTCTCATAAGATGAATCGTTCTCTGGGGGATCTTTCTTGCTCCCAGAAACAAACCCCCATTTTCCTCTGCTACAAATATGGATTTTCACTGATTATGGCCATGCCAAGTAGTTGGTCCCATCAAGTTTAACTGTAATTACAGCCAACATAGAATCGGTTGGGGTTCCCAAAGTCTGTCCATATTCAGCAGCACTCTTGCTTTCAAGGTCTRAGAWGTCCATCATGAAAARGTTCCAATTAGGGTTTTAATAAGTTTCTCAAAGTGCAGGGATTCTTGATGAACTTGGTTTGAGCTGAATCGGCAACACCACACAGCTCACAAAATTAGTT